CCTTTTGTAGCTTGGTATAGGTAGAACGTGGATTCTGCCAATTCAGGACGCAGTGGATAGTACTTCTCAGTCGGATGTATCATCTGATGATCCAGTAGATACCTGGAAAAAAATTTGTTCAGCTTCTTTTAGCCAAAACAGCTAACTTGAAAGTGACCGAGATCTCAAGATCCAAGTAGGAAGCCAGCAAAGAAAAGACAACTCACTGCCTACCTCTCAGGTAATACACCAAACTTCTCCCACACATGGAAAAACTCGCGGTGGGATGAATTTGCAGCTGCGACATCCCCAACAAGAACCTAGTAGTAAGACTTGAGCATGCCAATCAGAAGATCCCCTTTTTAACCGTTCTTTCTATGACATTTAAGTAACCCATCCGTTCATTCATTAATTATACCTGTAGACCAGGCCAAAAAGCCTGAAGACTTGTGAGCTGCCAATAAGTTGGTTTCCCACTCCACATATTAGCTTCATGATACCTATAACAGGTAGATAAACTAATTACTACATCTAACAAATTCCATTATTGGCATAATAGAAGTCTTAGGGTCATTATAAAGTTGTGGAAGTACATTTCTTCAGGCTAGTTTATTACCAAGGCCCATGTCTGAAGTATTTCTGAGATGCCAGATAAGCTGAACGAAACATTTGCCAGTAGTCTTCTTTTCCAAAAAGTATATAAGCCTTCAAGAGGTATTCATAGAAAGAGTCAACCCCTTTAAAAGACCAGAAATGAAACTGCACATCAGAGCTGCATCAATCTAAGGCACAAGTTCATTTGACAGATAAAAGTAAGTCGATTTTGCAGCAATCTCTTTGAAAAAAAAAGGAATTACCACTAGCATTCCTCTAAAAATGAACAACATACCAGCTCCTATGCTGGAGGAGTACTCTAGCCATTCCCCAGTTACCACATCCAACGTTGTCCCAAGTAGATCTAACGGGCTGCGCATCCTCCATAGCTGACGAAGCGCCCGTAATGCAGCTGACTCAAATCTAGGGTCACCAGTGAGCCGTGACAACGCTCCCATTTCAAGAATGAGAGAACCTAAAGTGAAAAATGCATAACCGGAAATTTCATGATCACTAGTTTCACAAAAAAATAGTATTGTATGTATTTTCCAATAGAATGTTAAAAGAAACAAGGGAAAGAAAATAAATACCACATCCTGAAGTGCTTGTTTCAGTTGTCTCATTCTCCATTACTCCATTCTGCCCAAAGAAATTATATTTGGGGTCAAAAATCCTTTTACAAGAAAACTAGAAGAGGGAGCTCAAACTTTGGCATGGCAGGTAAGAGAGCAGAAACGTTTAAATAACAATTGCACTAAAACTAAAGTTCTAGGGCAAGTAACTGTTTCTCTTCACATCAGAGAGCCAGGAGAAAAGATGCATTGAAGTACAATTATTTTAATAAGTGACGTTTGTGTACCTTCAAATTAACCCATGCATATGGTAATCCTGTGGGTGTTTCAAACGCTGGCAAAAAACGTCTTCCAAGGTCTTCAGATAATCGAAGAAGCTGATTGTTGTAGGACCCCTGAATCAACCTATTAGTTGGATCGATTGCAAGAAGATGAGCAGAGATAAGTCCTCCAAGAACTCTTATATTGCACTACAGATCAGAAGCAAAAAAAGCACCAGTTAGAAACACTTGTACTTTGTGTCATAAATTCTTTCATTTTGATAGATTTAAGGGACTGGATGATTACGATGTACCTCGAAAAGGTTGACCCGCGCATTAATATCAAATGTTAGATTTTCTGAGAGCCAGAGAACCCCCTTTTCAAATTCTGTATTGTTTCCCAATATAGCAAGGCTGGGACAAAGGAGAATCATGTCAAACTGGTATTGAAAAAACCACTAGTGGAATGCTCTCACTTTAGCAAAACATACCTGGACAAGGATTCAACCAGTGTCACAGCTGAACCATTATAATCTGTTGGCAGGTGTTCAAGCTGGAAATTCAG